CCCACCATGCGTCCTAGCACCCCCACGATGAGGAGAAGGAGCCTACGGTGGCAGCGGTGTCCCACCGCGCACCACGCGTCCCCACGCGCCACCGGCGAGTAGGAGCCCACTGCCCACCGCGCGTCCCCGTGCGCCCACGACAAGGAGGAGGAGCCCGCCGCCCACCGCGTGTCCCCGTGCGCCCGGTTGGCCTCCGCTTCCTTCGCCGGCTGCCGTCGTCCTCGGGCCCCCTCCGCCACCCACAACTGGCTCTGCCCCCCGCGCACCGCCGCCGTCCTCACCTCGCCAATCGAATCAACGATGCCTCCGCCTCTGCCTTCGCGCCGACGTCCGCGCCGCCACGCTCGCCTCACCTCGCTGACCGCTCACGCCGACCGCCCGTCCCCGCGCTCGTCCTCGCCGTGCGCGCTGCGTGAGAGAGAAAAGAGCGAGAGAGAGATAATAGAGAGAGAGGAAGAAGAGTATGACTGGCGTGCCCCACAATTTTTTTATTAAAAAAACGCTGACTGGACTGCCACGTGTACGCCATGTAGACCAAAACCACTGTCGATTGGGTCAAGGGGGTAATTCGTCCGGTTTACATAGTTGGGGTTGAAAAATATCCGATTTTGTGGTTCAGGAGGTAATTCGGATGACCGCAATAGTTCAGGGGGTAATTGATACTTTTTCCTTAATATAAAGTTAGGGCACGAAAGAAAAAGACAATAACACATGATTATGATTAATTGAGTTTTAGTTACTATAAATTTGAAAAAAGAATTTATTTGATATTTTGAAACAACTCCTATATAAAATAATCTCACGTAAAATATGTCTTAACAGTTTTTAAAAATATGCTAGTAATAAAAATCGAGCTAAAATCTGCAGGTTAATCACCACCGTACGTGCTCAATGCATCAAATGAATCGCATGAACGAGTCTACCTTAAAACAAGAAGAAAAAAATACAGAGAGGGCCACTTAATAACGTGATTAGCACCGGATTAATTACTGCATTCCCAGCTAATGACGCATCTGGTGGCTCAGCTAATCACGTGATTAGCCCTTGCCAATCTCGTACATCCTGCGTGCCAGCTCATCGCATCTCGAACTGGCACTGGCAGCTCATCTATCTTCCCGCGAATTGTGCGAAGAACTGGGCCGGGCTCATGCCCTTTGGCCCATTAGGCCTTTCTCCTTACAGCAAAAGTTTAATAGTAGAACTCACCACTTACTACAAATCCATGGTATACCTAACCTGTATAACAGGTTTGCTAGTATAAGGTTAGCTCTATTTTTTTTTCTTTTCTCTCTTTCTCACACTATAAATTAAATGCATATTTTTGAAGCATGTCTAGAGCTAACTCTTATATGAGAGCCAACACTCTCATTTTTCTTTATCTATCTTACACACAAGCATATAACTTATTTATAAGTCACTATTATCTTTATAATTATATCGTCTATGTAAAATGTGTGTCAGTATGTGTGTGTGAGAGAGTGTGGTAGCACGGAATCCTGCGCAAGTAAAAATTAGGTGGATTTATTTTGTTGCTTTGCTAGACTTAAAATGCTAAGTATTACTTTCGTCTCAAAATAAAATTATTTTTCACCCATCTTACACATACCAATACAAAACAAAAAAAAAAGAAATACCCTTATAATCAAATCCCACTACAACTATTACTCAATTTATCTACTCCCAATACAATTATTATTTTTTACTTTCACAAACTCTGATACAATGATTACTTAAAAAGAACTTATTTTTGTGATAATTGAAAGAAACTAAAAATTAACTTATTACGGAACAGAGGAAGCAACAATTTGCATATAGATCAATTATCCAGCGGATAGAAACGAAACAGATGAGATGGCAGAGCTTATTATTATAAATTTTATTAGTAGAGAGTGTGTGTGAGTTACACCATGCATATTTAATCATCCAAAGTTTAGAAAAAAAAATTAAGATAGCATACTCGTGCCATTTCGAAACCTTGAGGGTTAAAACCACGCAACTCTTACCACTACACTATCAATTGCATCTTCAAATACAACTACCTTTATATATGAATTAGGATGAGTAGATTTATGGGAGAATATCTAATATGGTCCCTAAAGTTTCACTTCTGGGTCATTTTAGTCCTTAATCTTTCATATTGTTCAAACAAGTCCTTTAAATTTGTTATGTGGGCTAATATAGTGCTTGGTCTCACCAAAACGCCACATGGACATGCCATGTCACCTTCCTATGCAAAATCTATATGATTTGTCCAATTTACCCTTACGCATAGAAAAATAAAAAACAAAAGGAAAATTTTTTAAAAAAATATATGGTATATGTAATAGCAAAAATATACCTCAAAAGGGTGAAAAAAGAAGTATTTTTTTCCTATGGTTATGTCTAATTCACCATTATATTTATTTTTCTATGATATATATAAGGGTAAATTGGACAGTTCATCATAGATTTTGCATGAATGATGACATGGCATATCCATATGATGATTTTGGTGGATCCAAGAACTATTCTAGGCTTTATGACAAAGGTTAAGGATTTCTTTGGACCATTTAAAAGGTTAGGAACTAAACTGATCCTACAGAGAAACTTTAGGACTAAAGCAGCTATTCTCCCTAGATTTGTAAAGTAAGCTAAGAAAATTCAATAGCATTAAATAAATACACTTAGTATGAAGACTTTTGGATAAGACATTGCCCCTATTATTCTTAACAGACCACTATGTTTTAATGGTAGCGGGTATCTTACTACCACCGTTACCAAACTTACCACCGCTATTTAAGTACTAGAACTTAAAATGGATCTACAGAGGCCAGGAAGAATAAAGAGGGGAGGTAGCCAACAACAAGGAGACAATAGTCACAAGACGGTGCTCATCAGTGTACCGTGATGCAGACTGAGGATGAATCACATCCCCGTTGTATTTGGACCCATATATATGTGAACAAATGTACTCTCCATTCGACGACACTGGTAGTACACTATACATAAAACATGGGTGACCATGCCATCCTATCCTCCTCCTGCTGCTGCATGACATGAGCCGTCAGCTCAGAACACAACGCTAACAATATTCCTGCACGGCCAAGTGGCATCACATCCCTCTACTGCACCTTCAGTTGGCAGACATTATTATATCGTTCAGATTTTTGGGTCTTTCTTTTGCCATTGTTTGGCACCTTTTTTTAGGGGAAAAAAAACCTAGAAATCGATCTATATTATGCATACAGTAAATATCCGTGATATTATTATTTATCCGTAAATAAAGAGATTTGCTTCGGTCAAAAAAAATACCTCGTTGTACTTATCTTGATGTTCGTTTTGCTGGACCAGAGTAAATCTCGTAAATAAAACACTAAGCCGGCCTCTTCTCATCATCTTTAGACACTACGGTTTAAATGGATATGGATCCTCCACGGTATTGTAGGAGTATTTAAAGTCAATGAGATGGGAGCTTAGACGATACAAGTAAGCCCACGTATCAGTGGCTCTCATTACCCTAATAGTATTGTAAAGAGTCCTTCATGAAGATCATGAAATCAGTTTCACAGGATTTTATAGTTCGATATCAACAGGAACCATACTATGTTCCAGACAGGCTAACAGGGTCTATTGCTAAATGAATCCCTGGTATTTTTGCTCCAATGAACTGTCAACTCTAACACGCATTACGAGTGGGATGTTTGCTTGAGACATGAGAACCACGTTTGTGGCATTCACCTTTAACCAAGTTAGCCTAGGTCCACATCGGTTGTCCATATTCTCTAATAAACTAAAACAGCTTATAGGGGAATAAAAAGTAATTTATAGGTAAAATTTTTATATATGTGTTATTAGCGACTTAAAAACCAATGCTGAAAAAAAACTATGTTGAAAATATCTTAAAATCAACTGCAAAACTAAATTTGAAAATTTAAATTTTAGCTTTTGCTTTAGCTTGTTAGGGTAACCGATGGGGCTCGTTGTATTTGGCTGTTACCCCACTTTACTATAATTTGCCACATGTGTGGCCACGTAAATGCATGAATTGCCGCACTCTGCCAAAACTTTTGTTGTAAAGTGAGAATATCATCAAAACAACATTTAAAATTGTTGTTCCCTCCATGCTAAAATATAAATAGTTCAGAATTTTTTCATGCGAGAACTAAAGAGAGGGGTGTTTATAATTGGTTAAAATAAGAAAGTAGATGGGCAACATATAATGGTGAAATTACACATGTATCGAGTAATTCCCATGGTTTTATTCTCCGTAGGATTAATATTGCAATCATGTATTTTTTTGTATTCTTATTCTTTTTTGGATTCATATAATTCAAAGAAGACCTAAATACCAAAAGTTGCTATACTTTGAATGGAGGTAGCACGGTTCATAGGGCCGAAACCGAAAACATCACATGTGCTCTCATGTGGCGATCCGTGGACGAAACCTGGAACAAGAAATACTCCAGCTAGCTAGAGCCTAGATGTTCAGGTAGCTGGATTCAGTGCTGCAAATGCAGATAAACCAGCACCACATTTTTGTACCTTGGCAATCCCAAATCCATTCAAATTTCACTTCATAGATGCATGATTACCCGATGGATCCATGCTAAAGAGGTCATCCTCCCATTCGCGCTAGCTCCAGAAATACTTTACTGCTCCCCTTAAAAAATATTCCCTCCGTCCCATAATATAAGGGATTTTGAGTTTTTGGTTGAACTGTTTGACCACTCGTCTTATTCAAAAAAATTTGTGCAAATATAAAAAACGAAAAGTTGTGCTTAAAATACTTTAGATAATAAAGCAAGTCACAAAAAAAAATAAATAATAATTCCAAAATTTTTTGAATAAGACAAGTGGTCAAACAGTTCAAACAAAAACTTAAAATCCCTTATAATATAGGACGGAGGGAGTATAAGGATTTCTAGAATTTAAATTTTATACCATAATATAAATGTATTTTTGTGCTAATTCCAATGAATCCCATCATTTCAATGATTCCATAGCCAATCAAATGCACAATGTGAAAATATGAGCGGATCTTAGGACATCAACAATGTGAAAATATGAGCGGATCTTGAGCCCCTAAGACGTACGCAATTCAAAAAAAAAAATTGCCAACCTCAGAACTATTTACTAAATAGCCTAAATATCCTTATAATTTGGAACTGAGGTAGTACTAACAACAATCAATCCCAAATTTTTTAACTGATTTTTTTACTGCAGCCTACTCAACTGAAAACTCAGCAATTCGCATCGATCTCCCAATGAGGTGCTCATGATCTACCGCGAAATGCGATCACTGCACCGGCAGCTTTTATATATACTGAAACCATCGAATTAAACTGAGTTACAATTGGTGATCGATAAATAGATCAATGGCATTGATTGATCTTAATCCGCAGCTAACATCGCCATCAAACCAAGCCAAAGCTCTAACTGGTTAACTGACCACATCTTGGCTGTTCATATGCTCCATTGCTAGAGCTTGATTTCCAGCACCACCACCCGAGCTCCTCTTCAGCTCCTCGCACATCTCCTCGATCATTGGCTTCCATAGCCGAACTCGAGCGTTTATGAACCAATTCGACACCTACCATCGCCGCGCAAATCGACCGAATCAGCCACGGAAAATCAAAAAAATCATGCTAAAATGTAGTACAACAAATGTGTTTTCAGATAATATAATTCAGCCAAGAACATGATCACTGGGTCTATGATTTATCATCTTTGCAGTTTTGTTTCGTCGAAAATGCGGAGAAGCGTTTGGTTTACGAATCATTTTTGTTTGACAAAAGTTTGGAAATGAGTTGTATATAGTACTCCCTTCGTTTCTAAATATTTGACACCGTTTACTTTTTAAAACATGTTTGACCGTTCTTTTTATTCAAAAAATTAAATAATTATTAATTTTTTCCTATCATTTGATTTGTTGTTAAATATATTTTTATGTACACATATAGTTTTACATATTTCATAAAAATTTTTGAATAAGACGAACGGTTAAACATGTTTTAAAAAGTTAACGGCGTTAAATATTTAGAAAGGGAGTATTACCTGGTTCCTGCTGAGGCCGCTCCTTGCTGCGAGCATCTCCTTCTCGCTGTCTTTCGGATACCTGACGCAAGAACACCAAAAATGAATCGAATCAGATTGTTTGATGAAGGTGTTCGATCAAATGCGTGATGTGGCAAGATCGGCGTCAATGGCGGCGTGGGTGGTGCTTACGGGCGGAGGAAGTTCTCGAACATCCAGGCCTTGAGGACGGCGACGGACTTCTCCGGGAGGCCGCGCTGCGGCCGCCAGCACTGCTGCTCGCCGCGCCGCAGCTGCTGCACCGCCCAGTGCTTCTGGATGAACGCCGACTCCCAGCTCCGCTCCCTCTCGCCGCCGGTCACCGCCGACGACGACTCGCCGCCGCGGCAAGGCCTGCCGGCCGCGGCGGCGGCGGACATGATCTCGCCGGCAATGCGGCGCCTCAGGCCGTGGTACATTGCCGACACGGCGCGGTGCGCGAACGGCGCGCAGATGCTGCTGCTGCTCATCCCGGCGGCGCGCGCCGTGGCGTGCGTCAGGGTGTTGAACCTCGCCGTCGTGCTCTGGATCTCGTCGAGGCATTGGTTGTACTTCTGATCCATCTGCGCATTTGAATTCGTATCGTCGTCAAAAGATGGTTTCAAATTTGATTCGAAATGGTAGTACGAAATTTGCTTGAACTGATGCCTCGGGAGTCGTGTGGAGAAGGGCGAGCTCACCAGCTGGAGCATGGTGAGGAGCTCGCTCCTGAGCCGCTGAGCCGAAGCGTCGCCGCCGCCGTGCGTGTGCTCGCCGGAGGAGGCGATGAGCTGGTTGTTGGAGCTCACGGCGGACGACGGCGCGCCGCCGGCCACCGAGCAGCTCGACGGCCTCGAGCTGCCGCTGTCGACGCCGCTGGCCGAGTCGGCGGCGGCGTCCGCGACGCCGCCCAGCACGCAGCCGACGGCGTCGTTGAGCACCTGCTGCGCCACCGCGGCGTATCGGGACCGCGCCACCACCACGGCGAAGTTCGCCGCCGGGTAGTACGGTACGAGCGGCGGCTCGGGCTCCACCACCACCACCCTGCTCATCTGCGTCAGCCCGGAACGGCTCGCCGCCGACGAGCACTGGTCGCCGCCGGCGTTGAGCATGCTGTCCGAGGACGACTTGGAGCACAGGCTCAGCGACAGCTCGCTCGCCGCCGCCGCCGCGGACACGAAGCCGGCAGCCTCCGGCACCCCGGCGAGGTAATACGAACCACCGTGCACACCGGCGTTGCTGCTGCTCCAGTTGCAGCTCGGCTTCCTCGCCGACGTCGAGCACCACCCCGCCGCCATGTCGCCCGGCTGGCCGTGGCCGAGGCACGCGAGGCTCACCGCGCCGCCGGAGCTGTCGCCGACGGCGACGTCGTACCCGCCCCCCATCTCCTCCTCCGGCGGCGTCGTCGCGCCGAGGTAGTCGCCATGCCCGTGCGCCGCCGCCGCCGGCGCGGCGCCGAACAGCTGGGTCGCCAGGGACGCGAGCACGAGGTTGTTCGCCGCCGCGAAGTGCGCGCCGACGTCCATCGCCGCCGCCGCCGCGTCGCCGTAGCCGAAGCTCCCGCCGTGATCATGCGGCGGCGCCATGGCCGGATGGAACAGCGGCACGTCGGCGCCATTGCCGCTCGCCGCCATGAAGTAGCCGCCGTTCATGGCGGCGTCCACCGCACCGAGCTGCGAGAACGATGGATTGCCGCTCATGGCCGCCTCGGAAATCTCCAAGAATTGCAGAAACTAGTGATAATAATCAAAACCTGAGAAGAAGAAGAAGAACAGCAGCAGCACACACGCATCAGACATTCAGACACACTGTTCTTCACGAGATTTTTGTTGTTCTTTTGACAAATCAGGCTTGTACTAGGTGTACCCTTGAAATCAAAGTTTTTGATCTTTTCATCTACTACCACTTTTAGTTTTTACCTTCACAGTAGCAAAAGAATCAACAGTACAAGCCACAAATAGATCCTCACAGAATTGTTCCATTGGAACAAAAAGAGATTCAATCTTGCAACTAACATACAACTGATCTTCCAACTTTTAAAACAAGAATCTTTTCTTTTTCTGTTCTCATTTGATAAATTCATAAAATACCAGATGAACTGATGCATGGTGAATAACACAATGCATCACAAAGATGAACAAAAGGAGCTGATACCAGAGGTAGAAACCAAGAAGACAGTGAAGCTTGAGTTGTTGAGCACACTTGCAGGACCTAAAATGGAAAGATGAAGCCTTCCAAAACCCAAAGAGACCAGCTTCCAGCTTCTACTTCTACTAGGAACAAGGAAACAATTGGGGCAGGGAGAAGTGTTATCAACTTATCACTCACTCACTACAAGTAGTATCAGGTAGGCCTAATGACCACCAAAGAGAAAGGGAAAGGGAAAAAACCAATGCAAACATCTCAAGGCCAGCAAGGGAGCAGCTCTCCCTGACCTTGACACTGGGTCAGAAAATTTTTTGGCCTTGGAGGAGAGGCTATCAAAGAACCAATGGGCCCTACTCAGGAGGCAAAGTGCCAATGACAAGGTGTTGGTGCCCATACACAACTAGTAGTAGCTCACTCATTATACTACTGTAGGAGTATTATAGATGCCGAGTGATTCACTATCCGATTAAAACCATTTATAAACCGATAAAATATAGATAAATCTTGACAAAAATTTAAATTTAGTTTGAAAATTTTAAACTTGACCAAAAGACCGAGTAGTTTGTAGCTTTCTGACCTGGTCAAGAAAGTTTGGATTTCACCGGTTTTCATCGGTTTTCTAAACACAGGGCATACACCTATGGCTTATTACTACTTCCTCTGTTTCATAAAAGATAAGATAAGACATTTTATAGCATAATGAATCTAAACATACCCAACATCACATCTCATCTTAGATAGGAGTAGATTTTTTATGGGACAGTGTAAAGGAGGAGTGGTGACAAAAGCATATGGGATTTATCACCTAATGATTGGTCACTGGGGAGGCAAACCATAGGCTCATTGGTCAGTTATCCTAATCCAAAATACAACATTGCATTATAAAAATGTGGATCATGCATGTGCCTAAAATCTACTAAATGACTGTCCCACCACTCATCCTCTACTACAGTTAAACAGTGCTGGCATTGAGAGACACTCAAACAAGCAAGGTAGGTTTCGCTTAAACTAATCAAAATCCATTCATGGAAGGAAGCATGCAGCACTGTGTGAGAGAGATCCAAGAACCAGGACAAGACTCAAGAGGATTATACTCCTAGATTTACCTGTCTATATAGGGGGATAGGGATGAAGTTGCTTGCACACTTTGATTCTTCTCTTGCAGTCTTTGCTTGAGCAAACAAACACAAGCAAAAATGCAAAAAAAAAAATGTTTGGGAGGCCAGAGGCAATGGGTCCAAGGATGCTGCTTTATATGGCCTCTTTTCAGCAGGGTGTGGGCAAGGCACTGCAAAACTACAACAAGGGCACTCCTCCCTGGGGGGCTGTGTGCCTGATCATGCATATCAATCAGAGATGGATGCATGCAAAAGCTCTGATCTTGTTGTAACACAAGAAGACAAGAGAGAGAGAGAGAAGGGAAGAGAGAAAGAGCATTGTGGGCTAGTGTTTGTGAAAGTTGTGGGATCATTGAGCACTACACTTTGTGCAGGCTTTTGAAGGACACACCTCTCTAGTTCTCTCTAGTATGTGCCTGCTTTCTCTATTCTAAAATAAAAACATTCTGGCATCTTGAGAAAACTTTAGTACTAAAAAATATTCAAGTGTCCCTTAATAGAAAAAAAAGCATTGGTCGGTAGGTAAATAAGATATATTAAATAAATAAAAATTCTCAATTTATGAATCAAGGATAAAAATCAATTTCTTTTAAAACAGGAAAATACTCCACATCTTTGTTGCTTTGGGCATGTTCACTTTTCTGCAAAAAAAAAACTTATCATTTGTTGGTAGAGCCAAGTATTAGCAATCTCAATCTTTGATAAGGTAAAAAAAAATGTGAAGGTGGTGTTTGCTTTGATACCTTACTAAATTTTTGTGTAGTTTTTATCAGTGGAAGGTTTCGGAATTATTGATAGAGTTTGGCAGATAATACTACTTCCGTTTCACAATGTAAATCATTCTAGCATTTTCCACATTCATATGGATGTTAATGAATCTAAATGTATATATATGTCTAGATTCATTAACATCAATATAAATGTGGAAAATGCTAGAATGACTTACATTGTGAAACGGAGGGAGTACAATGTAACAATCCTATTTTAAATTTATTAACTTATCAAAATTTGATACTACCTATGTCCTAAAATAAGTTCATTTTTATCCATCCCACACATACCAATACAAACTCAAAAATACTAGAATACCCCTAGTTTATCAAATTTCAATGCAACTATTACCACTTTATCTACCCTCAATACAAATATACGATTATTACATATTTTCATAAACTCTGATGCAATGAACACTCTAAAGTTAACTTATTTGTGGACAAATGAGAGGGGGTAAAAATATGGGATCGAGGAAGTAGTAAGGCCGAGTTTAGTTCCAAACTTTTTTTTTCAAACTTTCAACTTTCCATCACATCGAAACTTTCCTACACGCACAAACTTCCAACTTTTCCGTCACATCGTTTTAATTTTAACCAAACTTCTAATTTTAACGTGAACTAAACACACCCTAAGGTTTATTTTGGTAGTGAATTAAAAAGTCATTTGTTTTTTTTCAGAGACACACATGCACGACACACACCTCACCTCAGCAGTCAGGCAGTCACCAGTCACCACACCAGGTTGATGTTTTCATTTCTGTGTGCTCTGTGCAAAAATGATCAAGCTAGGCAGGCAGGGCAGGGCAGGCAGGCAGCCAAAAGATCTGGAATCTCTGTGCAGGGCTGAGAGCTGAGGCTGAGGGCAGCAGCTGCCTGCTGTGTTGGCAGTCTGGCAGAGGCTGTGCTCCTCTCCTCATCAGCACCAAAAATTGCCACACACCTTGAGACAAACGAGTGTACTACTCCTACTGCCCAGTGCCCACAGTAGCACTAGCATCCTCCTATTGGAGGAGTAAACTGCATTTGTTCATCACAAATTCACATTTGTTCATCACTTATATTATTATATACTATTCACCAAGGTAATACTAGTACTCTAGTACTATTACTACTCCCTCTGTCCCAAAATAAGTGCAGTTTTAGCACTGTTCATGTCCAACGTTTAACCGTTCGTCTTATTTGAAAAAAGATTATGATTAGTATTTTTATTGTTATTAGATGATAAAACATGAATAGTACTTTATGTGTGACTAATTTTTTTAATATTTTTCATAAATTTTTCAAATAAGACGGATGGTCAAAACGCTCAGCACGCATATCTATGACTGCACTTATTTTGGGACGGAGTTAGTACTACAAAACAGCCTCAGCAATATGAAGTTCTGAACAAGCTTAGATCTTATTCGGTTTGGAGAAGAAACTATAGAAAAACCCAGTTCCTCTAGAATTAACACTACTCATACATTTGGTACATAAGATTCAAAGAAAAAAATTCTATAGGAATCATGTGCCAATCCTCCAAAATGTGCTGATTCTATAGGAATAAAAACATCATCCACTCCATCCTTTTTGAAGGAAAATTTCATGTGTTCTAATCTTTTATTTTGTTTTTTGCACATACATTCCTAAGTTATTCCTGTGATTTGAAACCAAAGAGACCCTTAAGGCCCCTTTAATTCAAAGGAAATTCATAGAAATTTTAGAGGATTTCATTCTTACAGGAATTTTTTCTATATTGCCCTTTGAATAAAAAAAAGGATCTTATGGAATCCTATAAAATTCCTATGAAATGCCTAATGCCATGCAAGTTTTGGAGCAATTCTAACATGAGGTAGAACCACATGTCTACCTCATGGAAACTTTCTTTTAAATCTATATCTCTTCTCTAATTCTTACGTTTTTCCTGCGGTCCAATTAAATGGCCATTTATGTGTTTTTTTTGTCAATGTTTTGCAATCATCTATTTTACATTAATATTTCTATCAAAATCCTACGTTTTTCCTATTTCTACGTTTTTTCATTCCTACGATTCAAAGGGACCCTTGGAATAGTATTTCAGTTTTTTTAGTGATGATATTTATCAATGGCGTACCTGCATACTACTTCCCGGAGTCATAGGACCTATATTATTTAATTTATACTATTTAATTAATATACCAATAAATAATTATTCCTTCCACCTCAAAATATAAATATTTCTAGCTATAAATTTAGACAACCGCATATTTAAATTCGTAGACAAGCTATTATATTTTAGAACATATTTAGGGCCTGATTCATAAGATAGACAAAGGATTTTCATATGATTTAAATTTCTATGGATTTTCCCTATATGTCCTTTTGATTCATAAGAAAGAAAAGAAAATTTTCATAGAATTGTATTCCTATGTTTCACATTTCATAGGAAAAATAGCAAGAAAATATGATCTCTTTGTGAACTTTCCTATGTTTTTCCTATGGCGTGATCAAAGGACTCCTATTGTTTTTCCTGTTCCCGGAGAATTTGAGAAGCATTCTACTTTAATTCCTGTGTTTTTCCTATCAATGTATTAGACCCTCGATAATTTTTTTTCCTGTTTCGTCACACACACGGTAGGCAAGTATGACATGGCTTACTATACAACATGTTGGGGGGGGGGGTGAGCATGCATTCCATGGTATAACATGTACACTACAGTAGACAGTACTATACCAGCCTTTCAGCAGTGTACACCATACAACAGCCATAGAGATACTATACTGTACTCCTATAGTAGTACAGTACAGTAGAGAGAATGCAGAATTGATTGCAGGGGGTGGATGAGGTCAGCGAAATCGAGTGGGTAGTAGTAGATCTCTGGGGAGCCATTAATGGTGGCGGGTAGGGGCCAGGGAGCAACAGATAGTGAATACCACCGTTTGCACAGGGATTGGTTCCTGAAATTCACTGTAGGATTCACTTGGATATATATATTTTTAGAAAAATCATGTCTTGCAGTTAGGAGTCCGATCGCCTCAAATTAGCATGTGAGTTTTTTTAAAGAAATTTCTTATGCGTGGAACTTAAAAACTGACTCAAATCGAATATGCATTTCTAAAAGCAAACGAAATTAAAAATTATCAAATAAAGCACAAACGTCTTTAATTTTTATAATAGTAGAGATGAGCACATCTAAGAGACTGGGACAATAAATCTTAAAATCGATGAAATCATCATAGATTCCTATTGTTGGGTACGTCACCTAGCAATTAAAATAATAATTAGCTATAAATACGAACATCTGCCAAGCCTAGGATTTGAACCCGAATTGACAGGTTCCACCGCAAAAAAAAAAACACTAATCTCACTAAAATTTTCACCTTTTTTTTAAATCCATATGTTTATCTTCATTTGGGTTAAGACATTTGTATAAGAATTATTATAGCAAAGGACTTACTACATCATCGGATTGACCTTTTCCAAAGGGAAATTTCACAAAATTCTTATGGAATGTTCCATAAAGAAGATATTATTTTAAGGAAACTAACATGGACCTTCTCTCTCTAACAAAATATGGCCACCTTGAAAATTTTATCATTGGCTCTATTCTAAATCTATCATCTTTCTTCTAAAAAAATCTATCCTCTTTGTATCGAGCGTCGAAACAATACAATTGAAAAACTGTTGAATTTTGAAAACTACAGTTTTACCCACACATGTTCCAAAGATGCCTACAAAGGAAGGGGTTGAAATCACAAAATTGGTTCAAAGTTGGTGGTTATTCACTTCCTGCAGGTGAGACGGCAATCTTTCAAGTTAGTGGTTAACCAGTGGAAAATCTTTAAAAAAAGTTAACCAGTGGAATAAACAAAGTACTCTCCACTTGTGTCAACTTTTATATGCCCTACATGTCCTTCCAAATAACAATGAAGTTAAACAAATGTAATCCAAATATTCATAGCTGTCAGCACAATCCTTGACTGAGTTCTGAACTTCAAATCCAACCTTCAACTTTTTTTTCTTTATGTTTAGCACGCTTACTGAAATGCTTAAAGGTAAGTTTTATGTAAAAAAATTTCTATATAGAAGTTTTACAAAAAATCAAATAAATATATTTTAAATTTATAATAATACTTAATTAATCATATACTAATAGACCATCCCATTTCACATGCTGTTAAATATGTTTCTCCAAGTTTCAAACAGGCGTGTAAGTGTGGAGTTCTCTTTTGCTAGACAAAACAAGGTGGTTTTGGACAAGAGGATTTGTCATTTTTAAGGTGTGGCATTTAATAATTTGTCACTCATAGTTTATAACATGTGAGTTCTCGTACGTAATTTAGTGACAAATCGTTAAATATCAAGTGTAAAAGTGATAATGGTTAATTATCTCCTAGTAGGAAGGAGTATCAATGTGTATCATCATCAAAGGGCTTGGCCTGTTAGGGAATGATGGGCTAGTTTCTAATGCAGGTATGGAGGTGGTAATCATTGGCACGTCACTGTGCCAAGATGGGTGAAAAGAGGCTTTGAAGGCTATGCATGCTGTAGTAGACTGTGTAGTGTATGAGCTCCAAAATCAAGGAGACTGGACTGGAGAGTCTCCCCTTTTTCTTGTCCCTTCTTCTTTTTTCACCCTCGGGAAAAGGGAATTGAGGAAAGGCTAATGCAGTAAAAAAATTATAATTCATTATGAGCGATTTCCCATAATATAAGGGATTTTGAGTTTTTATTTGTAATGTTTGACCGCTCGTCTTATTCAAAATTTTGAAATTATTATTTATTTTATTTGTGACTTACTTTATTATCTACAGTATTTTAAGCATAACTTTTCATTTTATATATTTGTAAAAAAAATTGAATAAGACGAGTGATCAAACGTTGCAAGCAAAAACTCAAAATCCCTTATATTGTGAGATGGAGGGAGTACGAATGTTAGAATATAATACAAACTACTATCAAAGGACCCAAAGTCAACTTTTAAAAATATTTTTAAAATAATAAATTTTGGTCGCGTTTGATAAGCCAACAATTTGCACCACCTGTGTGCATCATTAACTGACAAGTGAGTAGCATTGTTTCTCGTTCTCAATGTTTCGCTCGAACATAGGAACTTTACATGAATTTGTTGAAACCCTTTCAAAATCCTTTTAAATTTCTCTATTCCAAAGAATGCACCAGTGACCATATACTCTGGAGCAATTATTTCGTTATATCTTTTCTTATAAAACAAATCATTGATCTAATAGTGCTAACAACAGAGCTGATTGTGCATTGATGGACAATACCCTGCCCACAGCTCACATACTCGTACAAGTACTGTGTGGTATAGTGAAGAGTGTGAAGGATGAGAATATCCAGGTGAGCAAAGAGAAGGCAGAGAGGCTGTGGCTGTGCATGGCATTGTACCACTGCACATGGAGGTGATTCACTGCAGGAAGGTTTTTGCCTGTAGCCTATGCCCTATGGATCCTAGGCCCTAGCCTGTCCTTCCCCTACTAGTAGCTAGGAGTACTCCTACCTAGGGAGAGTGGAGTACTAGATCTTTGTGTAACACATCACCCCGAGTAGCACAATAGTAGGCTGTAAGTCAGCTGTAAGCACATGTGAAGTAGAGAAGAGAAGAGAGAGAAAGAAAGCGGTCTACATATTTGTAGCTAGCTGTAGCATGAACTCCATTGCGTTATATGTGCATAAAAGGTGGAACCATATATTAATGATTTATAATGATTTATAGATAACTATTATATGAGTGGGCTATTACATTGGCTATAGATGATTTGGAGTAAGTAGTTAGCTATACTATTAAACTTGCTCTTAGAGCGAGTACAATAGCAGTCTACAAGTAAGTTGTAATCACATATAGAGGAGATAAGAGATAGAAGGAAAGCGGTTGTAGCCCGCTGCAGCAAGGACTCCAATATATTGTGTGTGTATAAGATGTGAGACTATACATTAATGCTGTAGTATATGCTTATAGGTAACTATTGTATGGATGAGCTATTAGATCGACTAGGCCATCGTCGTCGCCATCCTCCTCTTCCGCTGCCAAGCTCATCGCCCGCCTCCTCTCCGCGCTATCGAGCTCGTCGCCTGCCTCCTCTCCGCGACGCCGAGCTTGTCGGCCCGTCTCCCAGATCTACACCGGAGAGGGAGAGGCCGCGCCGGTGTGGAGAGGAAAAGGGGGAAGGCCACAACGGGGAGAGGAGCGGCGACGTCGTCCTCCTCTCCGCCGCCGCTCTTCCTCGCCCCTGGAGAGAGGAACGTCGAACACCGCCGTGGCTTCCTGCCCACTGCCACTCCGGTCGCCGCTCACTTCCTCCGCCTCAGCGCCGCTACCTCGCTTCCTTCCGCCGGTAGGGAACGGATAAAGGAGAGAGAGAGGAGAGATGGAAAGTGAGGATAGAAAAAAAGACTGGTGGGACCCACTCAAAGGAATATGCACCGTGGAGCATGTATCTAACAATGTTCTTGGGTGTTCTTGAGCTAAGTTGGCACACGAGGCTCCACAAATATTTGTGACCCACTGCTAATACCCTAAGAGAGGAGAGATAAGGAAAACGGGTTACAAATTTATAGCCAGCCGCAGCACGTACTCCAAAACACTATGTGTATGAGAGGTGAGATCATATATTAATCGTGTAATATATGTTTATAAGTAACTATGGTATGAGTGAGCTATTAGATTGGCTATAGATAATTTAGAGCTATTAGTTGGTTATAATATTCAACTTACTTAAGGGGTTATTTGGTTCATGACCATACATTGCCACACTTTGCCACACCTCAATAGTTAGTTTTGACTAAGTTAGCCATGTATTTGGTCCATTACCATACATATGGCGAGATTCTATTTCTAGCACCTTGATCCCACACATCATCTCTGAAAAGTGTGGCAAGGTTGTGGATTGCTAGTCAAAATATGGTGCCAAATTTTGTTCGCTTAACCTTAAACAAAATTGGCAAGAAAACTATGTCAATACTAGGCAATGTCAGTACATACACCAAACATCCTCTTAATTGTGGTAGTATTCATGTAGAAGTACTCCAGTATCTACTTTAACCAACTGCTAACATCAACCAAAATGCTGTCCACTCTCACAACAATTATTCTCGAAATAAGTTTATTTTCAGCTTCTCCACATATCAATATAAAGCTGTGGTAGTTCAAAGGCGTTGCAAGCTGCAATAATTTTGAATTGTTGTAGCCCGCAGCAAATGCCAAAAAAAAAAAAATCCCCATCCTAACAACCCCTTATTTTAGAACAGATGAAAGGGATAAAAATAAAGTTATTCTGAGACAAAGGGTGTAGTTTGGAAAAGCTAAAATTGCATGTCTAGTTGGCTCATGCTTACTGAAGAATTCTTTCTTGCAAATAGGACAGAAATTATGAAAACTAAGCTAATTGCCAGTAGATTTAGAGCCTGATCTTCATTGATGAAGACTAAAGACAGAAATTTGCCAGAAATTATGTAGTACTAGTACAAACTAGTACTCGTACAAAGCACTCGTAGTTAATTTGTCGGGGAAATAAACATAAAAATTATGAATTCCCAGACAAGCCATAAGAGAGAACTGAAACAATTACTACCACTGTAATAACAGTAACAAGGGAAAAGGCTAACAGCCTACAGCTCAACACGTTGCTGTGCACAGTTCATTAGCACAGAATTGTTGAGATGGAAGCTACAATTCAGATTGAACACACATCAGCAGTCCTAAGTAAGGATGGAAGCTAAAATTCCGATTGAAGTAAGAATTACAGAAGCTCACAAAAAGTTCACACATCAGTCAGTTAGTACTCCTATATCTTATAAGTAGTTAAATGGGCCATTCTCCACAGCTATTGTGGTCTGTTTTTTCATCATGCAACTCAGCTTTGGAACAACTCTAAAGAGTCAGTACAAGCAGAGGCCACAAAGTCAAGGAATCTGAATTTTTGCAAGAATCTTAGCTCAAGCCCAACAGGAGCCGTGTTGCAAGAATCCAACAAGGTGCTGAAAGCAAGGCATGATAGATGCATGTACTTCAGGCAAAAACTGCAAGCAAACACTCAAACCTATCAACCTACTCCTAGAAACCTACCTATGGCAACAGGAAATCTCATTCTCAGCCCCTGCTGAAGGAAATACTAACAGAGTTGTCTTTAAAAAGAGTCAGTGTACAGATATTGGTGAAAGGCTCTGGATTGTGAATTTACTAAGCTTTCAGTTAGATACAAGCTACTAGCTGTATTCAATTATATACAGAATCTGTACATTGTGAAATTCCCCTAGAATCAGCAAAGAATTCTATCTCTAGTCAAATGCCAATCTTTAGGCATCCGTGACCATGCCGCTTATGGGCTTATTGAAGGCCGAATTATTTTCTGCACTATGTTGGATGAGCCTAAGAATTGTGGTGGTACAACAGCCCCAAGAAATAATGCTATGTTACATGCCGAAAATATCAAGGCAATGAAGGGGATTGCACCACCAAAAGAGTATGATTTGTACTAACTGGAGTGAGCAGGGGCTGCATTACTTCTTTCTTCTGTCAGCGCAGCAATAGCCGTGTCCTCTCTCGATGGAACTTTAAGCCAAACCTTCATTGAGTCATAAACTGTAAACCCTATGGCTACTGATGGGACCACCTGTCAAAAAGAGACTTGTGAAGATATACTTTGCCTCTAGCCTTAACTAGAGAGGTACCTTCTTAACACAAAAGGAGATGAACATTACTTATGTAATTTTATAATTATAAGATTGTGAAATACCATATATATCCATAACCCACCTTTTCCCCACATTGCACATAAATAAAAGCACATACTGAAGTGTCTAATTGATATAGTTCCTAAGCAGCAGCAATTATCGACGAAGTATTCTAACTCATGAACAGCTCAAAGGAAATTAATTAAATAATTGACATAACATCATAGATTCTCAAATGACCCTAAGACATTGCTTTCAGTGAGATAGTGACTACACATATGGGACGTATGAGAAGTATAGCCTGCCTAAAAGTCAAGTTCTACATTTAAGACAAATGGGATTTCAATGTTTCAATACCCCAGCTCATGGTCATATGTCTTCATATTTGTCGGCAGCGAAAAAATGTTTTCCAAACAAAATGCCAATAAATAAACTATTAGTGACACAGGAAAGGCTATTCTCACCTTCAAATAGTTGATAGATAATCCTGAGAACAGTTGCCGCCAACCTTGATGTTTTGCTATCATAGCAATGCTTCCAAATGTTCCTTTTCCCTTTTCTAGGTTGGATGATGAAAAGGCCTGAACCTGGAAACAATTCATCCCAAATTATTCTTTAGAGCATTCAAAACAATTTATAACCCCATGCCGAAGAAAATCGTACCTGCATTTGCCGCCTAACAACATCAAGGGGATATGTTATTGTCTGCCCTAACAAACCAGCCACAGATCCACAGGCAAGTTTTGCAATGATATCTTTTCTGTGCTCTTCAGGTACATAAGTCTTCATAGTCTCGTAAAAGTAGAATTTAAGACCAGAGTAAGGGAAGATTCCATACAACGATGGAGCTGAAAAACCAAATTCTTTGTTATAGCAATAGTATCAGTAGTTGTAAATTAGCAAAATATGAAATGCAAAATAAGCATACCCATGCCACGATATAGGCCTCTTAACCCATTTTGTCTGTATATTGTTTTGACACAATCAAGGATCCCTTTATAAACCTGTTCAGAGGGCTTATATTCTCTTAAACTAAGTTTCACTGCACCTTTAACCTGCAGATAAATTATTATCAGACAATGTATTGATTTAACAGTACAGCTCCACAAATAAGGAAATGGGTCATATACTCATAGAAAGTAGGTTCTCTAACACCACAACATCAACATTGCCAAAGAGTGGTGTGGTGTCAATTAGATCATTATTCAGAGAGCTTGTTAATGTGTGATACATCAGGAGCAGCTTGAAATCTCCCTTGAAGAAGTGTGATTTCCTCTGGAATGAAGGGTGCAAGGTGTAAGACCAACCTGATAAGCCAACTTTGTGCGAACTAGATCAAGAGGGTATGTGCATATGACAGCTGTTCCACCAGCTATTGATCCAGCCACTAGATCAAGAATAGGGCCTTGCTCAACATTAGGAAAACCAAGAATGATCCATCGTCTGTATTCTTCATAGGCCATATAATGCAAAGCTGCATAAGGAACAATCCGAGCAACACTGGCTCCATTTCCCCTAAGGGAAGATTCCAAAGTCAAGCTCAACAGTGCAATTGTCATTCATTATGCAAGTAGCAAAGCAGGCAAGACCAACCTGTAAAACCCTAAAAGCCCTTCTGTTCGAGAGATTGTTCGAAATGATCCAATTAATCCAGAACCATGGAATTCTGCTCTTCTAGTCTGAAAGTTCCAAAAGAAACATTCAAATGTCAGAGGACTACCTAAGACATAGAGATGTGATCATGAATTTCAAGGTAGTAACAACAAACTACTAATTGTATGTATATGAGATCATGAATTTCAAGGTAGTGACAACAAACTACTAATTGGTTGAGATCGTTGTTGTTTCTTTTTAATATTTGTACGAACTATAACCAATTTAAGTTCAAACACATCAAAGCAGATTGTACATCAAAACACTCCAGTTGTAGACTGAAGTATTATGAACAAGGTATGGTTCTTTATGTACATGACCCGATTCACAAAATGAAGCACTCAGTTGCTTATTTAATTTATCGGGAGAACAATGGTATCTTTTTATATCGTAGGGGCCTCCCCTATTGTTTTTGGTCAAGAAAAGAAAAAGAGAACAATGGTGCTCGGCTAGACAAGTAGCTTCCAATTTCCTTGTGTGTGGAAATCCCCACAGGATTCAACTCCCTGGCATTGGTCTGATATTCTTGTTGCCTTCTTAACCACCACCATGAATTCTGATCCTTATTGTCCAATGTAATTCAAAACTCGTACTCGAACCATATACTGCAGTCAACTATTTTCACATAAGGGTCATCAGAAATGTTTGTTAAATCCCAATACATTTAGGTGGGGCTTTCTCCTTTCCAAATATATTCCAGACTTCCAGTATATGATTTTGTCAAGAACTCAAGATTACTCAAGGATGTCCAACTCCACTACTAGAAAATTATCGAACAGTAGCAAAAAATTTCCTCCTTATAAAAGTTATTTTAGCTTCACTGAATTGATACATGACACTGCAAAGTGACCTTTCCTCTCCAAAAAAAAAAAAACAGACATGATATAGTGATCATCTAATAACTCAGCTGAGCTTGAATCCCTGACAGACATTCGAACTCTTGCAAGCCTCTAAAGATTGCAACTTATTAATCAAGAAATTTCAGTACATTTTTTTAATACATACGTGTATTCAGAAAGGGATTGCCATGTAGTACTTAGCAAACATGGGGAATGAACCAAACTGGGGTCACAATTCAACTCATGTCCAACACCTGAACCACTTAAATCATAACCTTCCTGTCAGCTCTCCTTCAATTGTTCAGTTATATCAGAGCTACTAGCAGCCCAAAAAGAATGTATAAACATGCATTTTTTTTCCCTGATCAAAGCACCCAATTCATGTGTCCGGTGTAGGTGTGCCCCTCCGAAAGAATGCACTGATAAATACCAAAAACATTCCATCTCTCACAATAAAGATTTTTTCCCCCGACTCAAAAAGGCATATAACTTTTTCCTAACTTTTTCTTTAGAAAAAAAAAACAACAGAGAGATAGCTGCAAGAATTGCAACTAGGACAGCTTTCGGCGCCCAAGATTCCTGGACTACACCAGCCACACACACACAAACACAGAGGAGCCGCGTCTCATCATCGTCGCCTATCGGGGCGAAAGCACATCGGCATGGAAGGAAGCGTTCCGCGTTGGATTGGATGCGACATTACGCGCGCGTAGGGGCAACCAAAGAATCGGCGTGGGCGCCGTCCCAAACCGCTACTACTACCACCAAGGAATTGAAACAAGCGATCGAGAGCAGTGACGTGCCTGGAAGAGGATCTTGACGCGCTCGAGCGGCGCGACGGCCGTCTTGGCGACTCCCCCCGCCACCCCGCCGGCGACGAGCTCCCGCACGGCGAGCGGCAGGCCACCTCCGCCTCCGCCCCAACCTCCCTCCCCCGCCTCCCGCCCCCGCGCGCGCGCCTCCATGCCTCCCGCCTCGTCGCGGGAGAGGGAGGGGGAGAGGGGGGGAGAAGCGAACGCGAGGAGGAGAGGTAGGTCGAAGCGGAGGCGGAGGCGGAGAGACGCAAAGAGGAGGGAGAATAGTAATAGCGGAAGAAGACGAGGAGTTTCGTGCGTGCCCCCGGGGGGGGGGGGGAGGGGGGGGCAGGTGGGGCCCACATGGAAGCGACTGTGGTCGGGCCACGTGGACCGTGTGGGGGGAATATAATAAAGGATAAAGTAGTCAGGGGGAGGAAAAGGGAGATTTGTCAAGCTGCGGTGCGCGAAGGCGAAGGTGCCGAGCAGCCACGTCCCGTTCTATTGGGGTTCTTTGTAAAAAAGAAAAAAAATCCATTCAAATTTTATCAAACAGAACCGTGTCAAACAGATTCTACATTACGGTTTACCACATCAGTTTCCTAAAGAGTTTGTGAGAATTTATTTTGGTTTTTTTTTGGATAATGAGAATTTATTTTGATATGTGTATCATTTCAAAAAAAATAATAATTTACTACTAGTAACTTACTCAGGTTGAAAAATTGTTTTCGCAAAAGATATATAGAGTTGCAAAACATGAGTTTGCAACCACAACAATCTAATGATTGTGAAACAACTAGCGGGCTCCTTTCGATTAAATAATTTTTATAGGATTTATGGTGGTTTTAAATTCTTGGAAAAATCCCAAAATTACCCTTTGAAACAGTGGAATATGATGCCAGAAATCCTATGGATTGGCCTTTCATATCCCCGATTCCATAAGAAAATAAACATGAGCTCAAACAAGTTTTTATTGTTTTTCTTATTATATACCCAATGTAATCTCTTCCTTCCTCTCCCTAACATAAGCAAATCCTATTAAAATTCACGTGTTTACTTCATGCGAATAATTCAGAAGACACCACTTCTAGATTCAACAGAGCGTGATATCATATTCCTATGCTTTTAAAAATCCTTACTATGCTTTTACTGTTTCTAGCTAAAAATCATATATTTCAAAATAGCCACTAGATGTCACTACTACATAAAGACAAATAGGTGCCGGAGAAGCTAAAAAGGCACTTATAGTGCTTTTCCCCTTCAAAAGATGAAAAAAAAACCCTTCAAAAGATGGAAAAAAAATAAAACTAGCACCTTTAATGTACAATAGGTGTTAGTTCTATAGAAAAATCGACACCCACACTATACTATAGGTGTCTTTTTTAAAAAAAACAGTACCTTTAATATACTATAGATGTCGGTTAATTAAAAACCGACACCTATAATATATTAAAGGTGTCGGTTTTTTACCAAACGAGCCGAGCTGAGCTAAGAGACAGCCCTTTTTTTCTTTTTAGGCTTTATCTACTTGCCGAGTGGGAGTTGAGGGGGCGTCCTTATCCACTCGCCCCCCCTATCCTCCTCTCACCCGTCTCTCCCTCTCATACCCTCTCCTCTCTCTTGGCTCTCTCTCTTTCGCTGGCACCCGACAGCCGCTAGATCTAGCCAGGAGGGGAGTCGGCAACGGTGGGAGGGGCTGCGACTGCTCGGCAGCGGCCTCCCCACCCAGCGGCGGTGGCGGTTTGACAGCGGAGGCGGCGATGGTTCCTCCCCTCCGCTAGATCTAGCCAGGAGGGGACTTGGCCACAGCCCAGCGGCGGTGCCTCTCCTCCGCCAGATTCGGCCGGGATGTTCCTGTTTGTTTGTGTTCATCTTGTATTCATGTGTGTTCATCTTGTGTGTTTTGATGTTCATGTGTGTTCTTAGATGCTCATGTTGTGTTCTTGTGTTCGGGTTGAAGGGGTTTCAACGGGAGGGGGGAATTGCTGGAAGCATCAAGCCGTTTTTTTTTGCGTTCCAGAGATCACAAAGGTGCTGGTTCTGGAACCCGGCACCGATGACGGAAGTCATCTGTGCCGCCTTCGTAGTGCCAGCTGGGAAAACCGGCACCTAAGAGGGTTTCCCAACCGGCACCAATTTGAGTTTATGTAGTAGTGTGTCTAAATCGACTCTAACAAAACTATATGTGTAACTCTTACCCTGTATTATGTTCCATGTGCATATGATTTAATATCAGATTAAAAAATACATTTTAAATTGCACCAATTATTTCTATGCTCGAAGAGTTGGGTATATGGTAGTGGAACCCACCTTGCAAACGTGGGAAAATTATTTTGTTCCCCCTTAAATGCGGGGAAGCTGTTTTGATCCCTCAAGGGGGTGTCTTCTCGTTTGTTTAAAAATCATCTAAATAATTGTGAAAAATTCTCAAAAATTTGTGACAATAGTCATACAATGTACATATACCACTCTAAAAAAACTTAGAGAAAATCCCTTACGTATCGATAAATTTTCGCCCAATCTCTTCTGTGCCCTTGAATTTTGCCTTATCCCCTTCGTACCCTTGAGTTTTTATTTTTATGCCTTATATAATATACCCATTCCGTAAGTCGACTGTTAGTCGACAGTTAGATTTTTTCAAAAATACCTATATTACCCTTGTGTCTTACTTATTGCTTAGTACGGAGTAGTTGATTAAAAAAACATGGCTCCCAATGTAAAAGTTGATTCGTTTGTAAAAACAAACATGCCATAATTACTTAATCTAAGACTTAGATTTTTAAATAAGTTTCAAATCGGATTTGATGAAATTTATTGAAAATTTTCACTGAAATTTAAACCCAAATAAGAAACAATTTTGGTTTTTCGAATTCCGAATAAAACATTTTTTGGATTTCATTATCTTGAAAAAATGTTTGAAAAATTAATTTTGTTTTCGAAATCCGATGTTAATAATCATGTCCCTTTTTGATTTTTAGATTAAGTTTTTTTTATAACGAGACTTATGTTTTTAAATTATAAAGTATAAAGTACAATGGAAGGGCAATGTAGTCATTTTACGGTCAATTCACAGTCAACTTATGACATGGATATAGAAGGGATCGAAATAAAAACTTAGGGGCATACAGAGGATGGGGGCAAAATTTAGGGGCACGTAAGGGATTAAGCGAAAACTCATGTGTAGATAAGGAATTTTCTCGAAAAGGCAGGTCCAAACCTAACTCGCATGTTGAAATAAAAAAGACAAATCCAGTTTGTAATAGTAGTGGAACTGTTCACGCTCGAATTTGTTTTTTAATGTGTAGGTCGATTTTAAACTTGATTTGTAGTGTACCGATAAATTTCAATACACTCTACATTATCTTTTTTTCCTTTTTTTCATAAGTTTTGCCAACTATCTATATTAGATTTAGAAAAAAAAGGTACAAGAGGAAACATTCCCTGAGACATCGGAGTCCATTCCCAAATGTGTAAGAATATACTCCATCGATGAATTTGATATCAAAAAGACCAATATCAATTTCTACCAGTAGAATGAATTTTCAGGCGTTCTTACAATGGTGTCGCAATTTCAGTTACCCTGAATGTATCTCACACCATTCACCAAACCAAAACACTTCCATTTGGTGAAGCTAAAGCACAATATAATGGGGATCTCTTACATGATCCACCTCACACCATCTTGCAACAACACAGGTGAAGTTTATTACTGAATATATAATTACTTAAGCATGTTTGATTAATTAATTAATTAATTAATTAATTAATACTAGTTCGTTAATCTATCATCTGGCCCAGTCAATTAGGCACGTGAACTGCCTTGGGCAGAATTGCCTCCTGACCGGAAGCCAGCGTCGCCGGCAGCGCACGGCACTCCGCCGGCGGCGCCGCCTCGCCGCCATCGTCGTCGGCGTCGTCGTGTTCCGACGTGAGGCACTCGGCGACGATGCCGAGCAGCACCGCCTCGAGGTCCTCGAAGTCCGCCCACTCGCGGACGTCGGCCCGGACGGCGGCGCGGTCGCCGCCGGCGATGAGGTCCCACACCGGGTACCCCTTCCTCGGCATCACGTAGTCCATCTCCGTCAGCTTCAGCGACGGGCAGTAGTCGCCTCTCCCGTCGCCGACGTACACCACCCTCCTCCTCCTCGCCGCCAGCGCGCCACCGCAGCCGCAGGATAGCTCGTCGATGATCCTCTCCATGACCTTGCCCTTGCACATGTTGGGAGGGCAGGTGGCGAGGGGGCAGCCATGGCCGGGGAGGCCGTGGTAGGGGAGGATCCGGAGGCGGCCGTCGGCGTCGACGGCGGCCGGGTTGGTGTCGACCGCCGAGAAGCAGCCGGCGAGGCCGTGGTGGTCGAGGACGGCGCCGACGAAGAAGGCGTTGGCGTCGCTGAGCACCCTGAGCTCGCACCCGAGCGCGCGCGCCGTCTCGACGGCCGCCGCCACGCGCGGCGACAGCGGCGCTGCCCTCAGGCTCGCCGCCACCTCCTCCACCGTCCTCCCCTCCGCGTGCAGCTCCCCCATCATGGCGTCCTGGAAAGAAAGAAAGAAAGTCATCAGGTGTTCGTCAGCTCGTCGGAGCGAGACCACCGGCGGCGGCGGCGGCGGCGAGAGGTGCTTACGATGGCGGAGTTCCAGGGGAGGCGGCAGAGGAGGTCGTCGAAGCGGGCGGTGGCGCCGAGCGCGTCGACGACCCAGTTGTCGCTGTCGCAGTCGATGATGGTCTTGTCGAAGTCGAACACCACCACCACGCCATTGCCGCCGCCGCTCGCCGCCATTGATCTCTCGATCTAGCTAGCTACGTCGTCGCGTCTTCTTCTTGCTGCTGCTGCGTCGAACGATCGCCATGGCGGCCATGTATTTATAGCTCGGATCGATCGGCAAAAGCTAGCAGCAGTATCTAGCTAATGCGCCGTGATGGCGTCCGCATTATTGCTGACGAAGAGATCGATTTAATTTCTTCTTCTCTCTTTTTCTGCCGGTTGGGATTAAGTGCGGTTTTTGTTGGATTAATTGTGATTTGAGAGAGAGGAGAGGAAAGGATTGTTTCGCGGGAATATTCTTGGGATTTGTGGCGGGAAGGAGACGTGTTGGTGAGTTAGCTTAAGCACCATTCCCGCCACCGCTTTGAATGAATGCCGTTATAACGGCCGGTGCTTACGTGGCGGGATTGCCTTTGTCCGGGTTTCGCGGGAGACGGTAAATTAGGTCGCCACGTAAGGGACACAGTGTTCTAAAAAAAAAAACCGTAAGGGACACATGCTGCCTCGCTGACCATTGCCTACAATAATACTCCCCTCCGTTCACATTTTTATCATCCTAAGAAACCTTCTCAAAATAATCATCATCTAATAAATGTGTCTTTGTTCATTTGTGTAAAAAGTAAATGTGTAGTTACATGGAACCAATAAAAATTAATATCTATTAGTACAATGACATGCAATATTTAAAACATGAGTAATCCACGGGATACGAAGCGATGGAGCATCTTAACATATAAATCATATAAATATTAATTTGAGAATGATGAATATTTTGGTGTTATTGGTCTTGATGTCCTTTGCTTAGAAGATGATCAAACTGGGATGGAGTTTTTGACTTACGACACTGTTCGATTTTTAAATATGTTTTGTATCATTTTTTTGTGATGATTTATTTTATTATTAAAAATTATATACTATTATAAGTTTATATTTTATAAACTTTTGAACGATGGTCAATATATATGTGTTAACTTATACAAATAGGTGGGAGTACGTGATAAGGAAAAACACGAATAAGCATTATCGATGGCAGCCAGCGAAAACATTCGCTAAGTTGAATTTATATTTACATGGATGAAAGATGTGAGTGGGGAATAATTGTACTGATTAATACTCCTTCATCTACTTTTGATAGTCATATTTTTAAATTTGAAAATTTTATTTTTGATAGGCATATTTCAATCCAACAACTTATCCTCTTAATGATTTTCTCGAATTTAATGCGTGACTCTTCATTCTTCCACACATGATTGGCTACATGGGCATTGAGAAATATAAATATTAATAAATCGCTTGTTTACGAGGAATGACTAGTAGTATATTTAAATGGACGATAAGTAGAATTAATTATCCTTGGTCTGTGTGTCAAGATGAAATATGACTATCAAAAGTAGATGGAGGGAGTAGAAAAGAACTACTCCCTCCATTCCAAAATATAAAGTATAATCACCCTTAACCCAAAGACTAAGAAATAATAATTATTATGTTGTAGTTTGGATCATCCTAATAAATATGATGCATGCATCCAATAGAATTAGAGAATGTGAGAGTAAAGGATTTAAAAATGTAATAATTTAATGGAGAAGATTTCACGATTAATTACATGCATGCATGCATGACTTATACTCCATTATAGGATGGAGGGAGTAGTATTTCATTGTAATTATAAGAGCAGGTACAATAACAGGCTATAAGCCAGCTGTAAACATATTTTAAGAAGATAAATAAGGAGAGAGAAGAGCAGCGGGCTACAGATTTGTAGCCACCTGTAGCACGAACTTCAAGACACAGTGTGTGTATGACAGGTGGGACCATGTATTAATAGTGTAGTATGTAACTATTGTATGAATGGGCTATTAGATTAGCTATAGATGAATTGGAGCCAATAATTGGCTATACTATTAAACTTGCTCTAATAATTGTAATAATAACAGTCATATGCCATCATTTCATTGTTGTCGATGAAATCATTAATTAATTATTAATTGTTCTATAAACGTGTCGTTGATAATTTGTAGGCAACATACTACCTAGATCTACCCCAAAATATAATATGTCCTTATTTGTATCATGAAAGAAATTATATTGAAAGTACAATGTTACAAGTGTACACGACTAATAATACATCCTATATATATTTGGAATCAATGGAGTATGCATTCTATAATGTGAAATTTTATATAGATAGCAGTTGTTTGAATTAGCATTGTGTCTCGCACCGTGGGACTACATCATGTCGAAAGCGGATCCTCTAACGTGAAACTGCCACATGACATGCTCACTGACATGTGAGCTCATGAGCTATATGGAACACACATCTCAGTGATCACGTCCTTATGACTTCTCAATCCCATCATGCAGCCCCCTAGACCCCTTCCTCCATTGGCTCCACATTTCCATCGTCCACTCTAGTCAGTATGACGAGGGGAGGAGCAATTCATCTTTGCTCTTGCTAATGCTTGTAAGGTTTTTCCTTATGAAATCCTTTAAAAAAAATCTACTGGATAGATTAGGTTAAAGTGTCTTACGTGGTTTTTGTAGAGTTAGATTTATTTAGGGTCTCTAGCATTTTACTCTTTCTACCATTATTTACATGCTCAAATTTAAAAAATCTTGTCTATCGATATCGATGAATGGAGTAGCAATGCTAACTTTAGGGTTGCTGAAATTGTTTAGGATTGTAGAATAAATTATTCTTTAATATTAATATTTTTAGTTTATGCGTATCCCTTTCGTAACAACATTTATTGTCATCCTTTTATTTATTTATTATATATATAATCTATACAAGCAAAAGAAAACTGAAAAAAATATATAAAATTGTACTTCAAAAATACATATCACAGTACTACGTGTAGTGGTCGTGTGTGAATGTGCGTATACCGTGTAATAGAAAAAGAAACAAAAACATACTCCATCCATTCCATAATGTAGCAATTAACCTGAGACTCATTCTAGTACTACAAATTTGGACATGAGGCATGTCTAGATTTATAGTCTTAGGACCTTATGTCTAGATGATGGGTCTCATCCCATCTAGATTGCTACATTATGGAACGGAGGGAGCATCCCGTTCATTTCTCCAACAAGAGTTGGACGGAGATAAAGATTTTCGTGACACGCTTTTCAAACTGCTAAACGGTGCGTTTCGTGTGAAAACTTTTTATATAAAAGTTGCTCTAAAATATCATATTAATTTATTTTTTAAGTTTGTAATAATTAAAACTCAATCAATCATACGTTAATACAATCTCGTTTTACGTAAAAAACTTAATCTTCATCTTCAGAAGAAAAGAACACCACCTTAGTATAATAGAAAAAACAGGCCATCTTCTCGTACAGAGACGTGTATTGCCGGTGGCCACCAGCAGACCATCTGGCGAGCCAGTTACCACTGATCAAAGGTGAATCGAACCACTTCTTTTATCCTAAAATATTTTACTTTACAATTTGTCCATCCTAAAGATAATGAATCTAAAGTAGAGGTTATGATAACTTCTATACAAATTCGTTTTAGGATGAATCAAAGTAATAATATTTTGGAAATGAGGTAGTATTTCGTTTGAAAAAAAAAAACTTGAATCGAACTATGTGCAGTCGTACGTGTAGCACTCCGCCACGTGTCCTCTGCCCAACCTCGAAGCCGTCACACTCGTCTGAGCTAGCTATACGCTTGATCTACCGTCTATGTATGGCGTCTACGGCTACGTACGCGTATTTATGTACGCGCAACAGCATATCACCTCAGATGGGCGTGAGACAGAACTATTCCTTTATTTCTCTCATTCATCATGGTTCACTTATCGGTTTTATATGCTTTGGGAAAAATTCAAACTTTTTAAACTTAATTTTAAATTAATTGAGGTTTTTCATTGCTTTTCCAGCCTTTAATTCCCAACCGCGCGCTAGTTAAGGGTAGAAACACAAAAGTCCTTTTCTAAACTTTTTTTTTATGAAAACTTATGCTCATTTCAGTTCTTAGAAAAAAAGAAAGGAAGGAAGAAGCCGACAATATCTTTTTATTAAAAAACTTTTAAGTATAACTGCAGTACAACTAGAGTGTAATTATATTTTAATAACTATACTATATTACAATAAACTTAAAGATAACACACGTGTAATTATTAAAAAAAACCAAGCACACGGCCTGCTGGCCAGCAGGGCGGCTCGACTCCTCGCTCCTACACGTGCTTGCGACTATTATTTTCTTTACCCGAATGTTAAGGCGGAGTCGGAAATTCGAATATTCTAGGAGAGAATGCATTTTTAGCAATTCCAAAATATTATTGAATCTTGGAGTGATCCGATGGTCCAAAATTCGTATGGTTTCCCGAATGTTAAGAAAATCAGACAGTCGGAAATTCGAATATTCTGGGAGAGAATGCATTTTTTAGCAATTCTAAAAAATTAGTATTGAATCTTGGAGTGATCCGACGGTCTAAAATTCGTATGGTCTCCCGAATGTTAAAGCAATCAGACATTCAGAAATTCGAATATTCCAGGAGAGAATGCATTTTTAGCAATTCTAAAATATTATTGAATCATGGAGTGATCCGACGGTCCAAAATTCGTATGGTTTGGGAGTGAAAAACTATGTAATGTTCTTTTTAGCAATTCCTAAAAAATATTGTTCAAATATATTTGCTGCATATATATATATATATATATATATATATATATATATATATATATATATATATATATGGGGCCAGGAGAATAAAAAACTAAATACAAGGATAACGTCGATCGAGTGAAGCGATCGATAAAACGCGACAAGAATTATGTATCTTTCATGCGTATGCTGTATGCCGATACGATCGAACAGGATAATATATTCCTGTTCAGCTAGCATATATACTGCATTGAGGGAAAAAAAAAAGAGAAAGAAAAAGCTAGCATATATACGCCGGCTGCAGACTCATCCACCAGCTGAGACAGCGATATACATATATTCATGTATCGAATGATCGATGGATGGATGGAACAGGAACAGCCATATGTTGTTCTGACGAATCGATGCTATTCGATCGATCGATGGATAAATGGCCTAGGGTTCCCGATTCTTGCTGTTTTAATCGCTGTGTTGTAAGATGCCCTTGTTTATTCGTGTATGCATGGCACTATCACTATTACGAGATCGATGTTTACAGAGAAGCCGCTCCAACATCTAGGTGGACCATAACATAGTTTGGCTGCAATGTTTACTCTGAAAGAAAAAAAGGATCGTATGAAAAAACAATTTTCGTAGACGAGCATTTTAACAAATCCATCTACGACAACAAACCTGCTTTTATAGGCGGACCTGTTAAGTGGTTCACCTGCCACCAACCCACCAGGGCGTTTGTGCACTCTCCTCTTCCTGTGTCTTTGTGGTGCGCGTCGACTGCCCGGGGTTCTTGTCATCGATACTGCCGGTATCTCTTCTATTACCACCTACACCAAAATATATAATTTATTATAGTTTAAAATATAAGTATACTTAAAATTTCTTAAATTTATTTTGAAACATGTTCAAAGCTATATGTGTAGTATATATTTTTTAATTCGAATTCAAAGTGTACTCTAGAGGGGATGGGTTATTTCATATTGCAGGTAAAGTTTCGTAGTCGGACCAAACATTTTTGCTTTAGAGATTGACAAGAGTACCTAAATAAAATGTTGGTTGATATCGATATGCTAATTTAACATCAGTGTTCTTCCAGTGATATCGGCCGTTGCAAAGCATTGGAATGATCAGGATCTAATTTGTTTACCTTTCTCCCAGCATTATTTACAACAAACAGGACCAAACTGAGGATTTCTTTTTCATTATCAAATTAATTATGGCTTTAACGTTAGTGACCTTCTTTCTAGAGACAATGACCAATAATATTAGCTGTGTTTAGTTCACACTGAAGTTTGGAAGTTTGGTTGAAATTGAAATGATGTGACTGAAAAGTTGTGAAAAGTTGTGTGTGTATGAAAGATTTGATGTGATGAAAAGTTAAAAGTTTAGAAAAAAAACTTTGGAACTAAACAGGGCCCGTTGCCCACTACGTTCAAATTCTGAGATCTCGCCTATGTAGATGAGCTAATTAAATAGGGTTTGATGTCAAGTGCATGATGCATTAGCAGCATTAGAGCATGTACAATAGTAGACTATAAACCAACTATAAACACATTTCGAGAAGATAAAAGAGAAAAGAGAAAAACAGTAGACTATAGATTTATAGTCAGCTGCAGCACATACTCTAAGATCTATGTGTATATGACAGATGGGACCAAGTATAAATTATGTAGTATATATTTATAGGTAACTATTATATAAATTGGCTACTAAATTGGATCTAGATGATTTAAAGCCAGCAGTTGGCTACATTATTAAACTTGCTCTTAGGGTGGTTGAAATGACCTTCTTTTTCAGGTCACCACTTGGTCTTCTCCAAACAGCAGATCCAATGTAATGATGGAACTTGTTTATCCCTAATTCCTGCAAGGAAAAAAAACAGAGGAAATTGAGTACCTTATTACAGTACATAATTAGTCTGCTTAGACCAGAAGAAAACAATACTAGTAGTATCATTTTTTTTCAATAATAAAAATCAATCTAGCCTCTGCAACAAGATGCATTGGGCTTAACAGTAGTATAAGTTTAGGTTTCATGTTTCTTAATTCACAAAAAGAAATAAAAACACCAAGTTCAAAGTGTCATTTGGATGTTGGAAAAAAGATAATACTAATTTATGGGCTCTAATTAAAGAGATACGTAGGTGCCAAACTTTATATTGTTGATTTGACGACTCTCAGTATCTCAACCGAAGATATCATACCACAAATTAGGAACAAAATCCTTAGCAGCCCACATACTCTGGAATTCACTTATTTTGATGGGAACTTAAATAATTTAAAAGTACATGTATCCCCTCATACACCAACCTAATAGTAACTTATTCAGCAGATATTTGCTCTCTCCATCTTTTAATTCAAACAAACCCGGAAAAGGAGCACCTTAGATGCGTCTATGTCGAGAAGCAATAACGTTCAGTGGAATAAGATTTGGTGTTCCTTTTTTATTCTGGTAAAGCAGAGACTCTCCCATTTCTGTGATGTCCTTTCTTCTTCTTTTCTTTTTTTTTTTGTTGAAGATAACCTTTGGTTTAACAATGGCACGCACCATGCTTTTGCTTAAAGAGCTGAGGTCACAACTTATGTTAAATAGGTGACGAACTTTCAACCTGCAGGTTCATCATGCGCCAGTCAATGCGAAAATTTGACAAGATTCAAGTCTAGGGTTTTCTTTTTTTCACAGCCGTTAGTTTTTCTTTTTAGACCTTTAGTTTTAAGCTATTTGTTAAGTTAATTTTTAATCACTAAAATATTTAATTTATCTGTATAATCTTTTTTAGACCCGGGCTCCCCTATTGCTTTCTAATCTTAAGATGTAGATTTTATAGGTCTCTACGCTCTTCTTAGTGAAGAGGCGTGAGTCCAATAAAGATGGAGAGAGGGGGGGGGGGGGGGGAATCCTAGGCCAGGCTGTGATCCAGGCCCCTCTAAGTTTGTAATCCAATAAATAGATCTTGTACAATTGACGCTCTTCTCAAGGAAGAGCATGAAACCTACAAGGGCAATGGGGGGTCGGGTCCTGGGTACTCCATTATCTACAAACTCTAAGTTATAAATCTTATGGGTCTCAACGCTCTTCTCAATGAAGAACGCAAGTCCTATAAGAATGGAGGGGTGGGGGGCCTAGGATCCCAGGCTAAGCTGGGACCTTGGTCCCACAAGCTCCTTAACACAGGCAGGGGGCCCGGACTTCAGTACAGAAGTGGGCCCCACACCCCTGTTTATTGATACGTGACTTAACTTAATGATGGCTTAATTGTGATTTAAATTTAAATAATATGTAGAATGATAATTTAAATATAAAAGTAAGATAATATGGCTTTATGAGAGGAAAAAAAAGGAAAATAATTTAGACCATACATCTAAGAGCTAAAAAGTTGAGATGATGTGGCTTAATGAGAGAAAAAAAGAAGAGAGATAATTTGAATCACAAATTAATCATCTAAGGACAAAAAAACAACAGATGTGATATGACTTAACAAGAGAAAAGACAAATACATGAACTAAGTGATGATGAACTATATAGTGTAGGATATTATAAAATATGATGGAGAGATATATTGAAATATTATGTGGATTATGTGAGATGATTTAACATGCTTACTTTTAAATCTCTAAAATTTAATAAATTATTAAATTATAGATAATCTAGCATGTTTGCAGGATGCTTAAATATAATAATTGTGAGTGGATGACGATGTGGTATCTTTGCATGATAAGTTTTAAAAATTAGTAGGCTATAACTTTATTATAGTAAGACAGAGAGGATATATGGTCCAGCGAAGGGCCATGAAAGAAATAGTAAGAAAAAGGAAAAAGTACACCAAAGGTCCCTCAACTGGTCGTCAAGTTACAAAATCATTCCCCAATCGTAAACCGGATGTATGACATCCCTCAACTTACAAAACCGTTCACTTTAGGTCCTTCGGTGGGTTTGACCCCGGTTTTGTCCGACGTGGCGGGTAAGTTAGCGTGGGACCCACGTGGGCTCCACATGTCAGCTTGTCTACGTCAGCCTCCTCTCTCTTCCTCCTCTCTCACATTCTTCTCTAGGCAGGCCGTCTCACGAGTGGAGAGGAGGTCGACAGTGAGGCGGGAAAGGAAGAGGGCGTCGACAGGCAACGCGGCAGCGGCGCACCGCACTGTGGCAGGGTCGAGCGAGCCGTGGAGCCGTGGCGTCAAGGTGGAGCAGCTGGGCCTGGGCGCACATGTCCACTCACGCCCAGCGCCCGCACGCAGCTCCTCCCCCCGCCGCTGTGTCGCCCGTCGCCGCCATCACTGCCACCGTGTCGCCTATTGCTGGCCGCCGACACCCTCCTCCTCTCCCGCCTCGCCCCGCCGGCCAGCCTCGCAGAGAAGTGTGTGTGAGAGAGAGAGAGAGATGAGGAAGGGAGAGAAGAGGGAAAGAAAGAGGAGGCTGACGTGGCCACCCTGACATGTGGGTCTCATATTGACTCAGCCGTTACGTCGGACAAAACTAAGGTCAAAACCGCCAAAGGACTTAAAGTGAACGGTTCTGTATATTGAGGATGTCATATATCTGGTTTTGCGGTCGGGGGACGATTTTGTAACTCGATGACAAGTTGAGAGACCTTGGGTGAACTTTTTCCTAAGAAAAAATCCCAAGTGCCCTCCTTTATTAGGCCCAGCCCACTCATTACCATGGGCTATGCGGCCCACCCCCGCCGGCCGAGTCCCTCCGCCGTACGTCCGGCCGGCGATGCACCACCGCGACGCGACGGAATCATCACGCGGATCTCCCCTCTTCCCCAACCCAAACCTGACGCTGTGAATTTAATTAATAATAATAAAAAAACAAAGATCTCGCCGCGCTTCCCACCGAGCGGCGGAGCATACAAAGCAGCAGGAGCAGTTGATTGGGTAGATCGAAGCAGCAGGGTGAGGTAGGCCTGAAGGATTCCGCCATGGCAGCAGCAGCAGTAGCAGCAGGGAGAGGAGGGGTTAGGGGAAGAGGAGAGGGGGAGGAGGGGTCGCTGGCTCGGCGGGCGTGGCGGCAGTACCTGCGCCAGCTCCAGCTCCACCCTCTCCGGACCAAGGTGCGTTCTTGTTTCGCTCCTCGATTCGATTGGTTTTCTGCGCGCGCGGGATTGTTTGCTCAATTTTTGGGGGATTGCGTGCAGATGATCACGGCGGGGTGCCTCGCCGGCGTCAGCGACTCCGTGGCGCAGAAGCTCTCCGGCTACCAGAGGATCGAGAAGCGCCGCCTCCTGCTCAAGATGGTACGGACCTGTGCTTGTGCTAGTTTCCTGCCTTCCTGCGGGGTTGTTGCGGGATTGGGTAAAGGTGGATCGTTTTCTTGATTTTTTTTAGTATAGTCCTTTATGACTGCGAGACTGATCGTGTGCTGATCTCCTTTGTGTATAGAATTCTCATGTAGGAGTAGAGGATTTCGATTTAGGATTTGCAGTAATGCAGTATATCAATGTGATTTGTTTATTGTTTGAGTAGAGGATCCAGTTGAAAGATGCCTTGCGCTTCTACACTGATGAGTTGTATAGCGAGTAGTTTCAGGCATTCTGATCTGGTGAGGTTTGCTTAGGTGCGCTGCAGTTCTTGCGTCATTGAGTTTCCATGAATAGAAAAATTAGTTGTTAGTGCTTTACAGCATTGAGGATTTTTAGGTATCCTGTAAACTTCAATTATAAAAGAGTAAATTTTATGTGTTGCTGAATTGCCACAATAATGTATATTTGTGCATTCCAACTATTTATGAATGTTTGATACTTTCAGGCTGAAGCAAGCTCTTAGTTTGCCATTATCTACTACTTTTGGTCTCAGTTACCATAGAGTTACGGATCCTTGGATTTCAATTTTGATTACACATTGTAGGCTGAATTATGACTAGTTGCATGGCCATTAAAGTATTAAAAAACTATTCAAGGCTTGAACCCTTGTTTTTCACTTCTACTTCTTGCTTTTCTTCATGAGACACTTGACATTTCGTCCAGTGGACAACAAATGGTGCTTCACATCTATTCATATCTAACCTGTTCTTTGATGTTAACTTGGAAGTTTGTATCTAACCTGTTCTCTGATGTTGGTAACTTGGCAAAATTTAATCACATTGCCATTCCTACAATAACTTTCTCTTCTGTTATTTATGATGCTTTCATGCATGTTTTTGTGTACTAAAAGTTCTGACAAGTGTACTATGTTTTCCTGTAGCTCTTTGGGTTTGCTTATGGTGGCCCTTTTGGCCATTTCCTCCATAAAGTGTTAGATTATATCTTCAAAGGGAAGAAGGATACCAAAACTATAGCCAAGAAGGTATAAAATTATTTCCTGATAACCTGTGCAATATCTTTCGCTTCATTTCATGTGGGCTATGTATAAGAGTTCTCGTGCAAGACTTTACAAATTCAACTAACTTATATGTTAAAGAAGCACATCTTGATCTAGTTGTTTTGACTTCCGTTTTTCAAAAATATGTTCTAAATTCTATTGCAAACTACTCCAATCTACCAGCAACAAACTTTTAGACTATGCTATTTTTGGTCCTTTTCCAGAACACTGGAGGAAACCATGATTGAAGTCATGCTAGCTCTGGTCGACAGGCTGTACTTGATATTATTGTTAAGATGTTTAATAGATGATAACCTTTTCAGGTGTTACTGGAGCAGATCACTTCTTCTCCCTGGAATAATCTGCTCTTCTTGTTCTATTATGGATATGTTGTTGAGAGTAAGTATTTAATTATCAAGTCAGTACAGTTTGCGACTTAATGCCAGTGAAAGTGTTTCTGTGGTATTATGCTATGACAAGCTGGCAATCATAATTCTGAAGTTGATATATTGTCTTCCTAGCATGTGGTGGTTTCTGGAATCTTCTCTGCTAGTCATTCTTTTTTTAATTGTGAGGTTTGGAACGTACTGCATAAACAACAATACCCAGAGTACTTAAAATGGAGGTCCTCTAGGGCCTAAAAGGGACTGACTTACAATAATGCACATTTACTATGAATATTGTTATTTTTTCTTGGATCAGATGGATATCTATCTAAATGTAATGGCAGTGTTGAGTGCAAAAACCTTTAGCCCATGTCTTGTTAACCAAATGAATAGTTTACTTATTGTTTGTGCATCTTGTGATGTAGGGAGGCCTTTTAAGGAGGTGAAGACCAGGGTTAAGAAACAATATCCCTCGGTGCAATTGTCTGCTTGGATGGTATGTGATTTACTTTCAATAATCAACATTGCTGCTTGCCTGTGATGTTCCCTCCATGGCCCATTAATATATCTGATCAACATGCAGTTTTGGCCAATAGTTGGTTGGATAAATCATATGTACATGCCGTTGCAGTTCCGGGTGATTTTCCACAGCTTTGTTGCATGTTGCTGGTAATTTTTCTAGTGGCCTGAACACTTTGGTAACTTATTGGATGGATGGAATTCCAATTCTCAGCCTCACCTGATCATCCTATTCTTTTTCAGGGGGATATTTCTTAACCTTCGTGCAAGGGCCATGTCTTTGAAGCAGTCGTAGAGAATTTAGTAGGAAAAAATTGCAGCACCTCTCCAACTTGATTCTTACTGACTAAAGAACAAGGATGCTGAGTGCTACGCAATATGCAGTTAGCAACAAATTGTTACGAGTGGTTTGGGATTTCGAGTATTTATCTGGTGTTTAGTTGGGTTTGTTTGTCAGCAAATGCGAGATTGTTAACAAAGGTATTCTGTTGACACCGGTTATGACTTATGATGAACCCAAAGTATGATTTGATATCTATGGATGAGCTTGGCCTGCCTTTGAAATCCACCCTGTCCATCTGCCTTATCATATCTTGGAAATATGCAACTGTTTCTATTGTATATTCTGCTGTTCCTTCCCTGCAAATTGAAAGGTGGTTTTCAAATGCTCTGACCTGAATTCTGTTATCCGGCAAAATATGCCTCTCAAGGACTAAATTCATGCTCTTAGAATGGGTCTACGCTTGACCGTTCTTCAGAATTTCACGCTGGAGAAAACCATTCTTTCAAGTTTGTCTATTGTTTTTTTTCCCAGTCTTACTGGGTCTTTTTCACCATGCAAAGACCAGAGCCTGAAATCAAACCTACCTTTCTTGTCAAAAGCACATGAAACTGATCCTGTCAATGCTGCGATTGAGCTGAAAGTTTTACACTGAATTTCAGCAACAACTTATGCTCTACCATTGAGTTTTTGCGATTGATTCAAACCGTTCTCCTGTCAAAAAAAATTGCAGTTTTCGCTGTGTTGAAGCTGAACACCGTAGTGCCCCTGTTTGAATTGACCTGCCGTCTCTGAATAATTCCAGGTCCAACGAGTTGATCATTGGGCACGTAGTTGATAGTTCTTCACGTCCACAATCTGAACCAATCACGTTCTCCTGCCAATGACATGCTGACAAAAGATATCTTTTTCTTTTTGGGGTCCCTTAGCTATTAGCTGGCGTGATAATCAGATATCTTTAATCTGAAAAGGAGATCATTTTTTCTGTCAGTAATTTAGTACTATTAATCATCTGTGGCTAATTTAATCTTAAAATTCCTAATTCAAGTGTTAATCCAAAAATCGACTGAAAACGTGTCATCTGACTATCTGAGACCTGCAAAACCCAGACAGTCAAATTGTCGGTCAGAAATTAGTTGTTGTCTTTCAGGAACAAATAAAATTCACATGTTGTCTGCAGTGCCAGATCATGGCCCACAAGAAGGCGACCGACGACCATATGGCTCCAGCGGTAACCGATGAAAATCTCTGCGTGCCGACGAACCATGCATGTGTGCGTTCTCCGTGTTTCTTTGAGGCCTCAAAATGCAATGTGTGAATGTTATGTTTTGTAGCTGAACTGTTTCCATGTGAAAACTTGTGTGATCCAAACATTTCTGAAAATTGTTTTAGGCCATTTGCACACATTTGGCAAGAGTTCGAAATGCAGGAGCATTAACATGATTATGATAGTGGAGTTGTGGATATATTCGGGTTTAAATTCTGGTGCCTATGAATGTGGCTTTGTACAGGTGCATATTGGACACCAGGTTATTTTTTATCCGCTTTTACCGATTGTGTGCATTCACAATTATGCAGAGGCCAGAAGTTAATTCTTTCATAAAATAAAGTCTATACTTTTTTATGGGTGAAAAAAAATCTTTCGTTGATAGGCTGTCTATGTTTGTACCGTGTTTCTTGAAAAAAGGAGAAATTTTCTCCGCTTTTAGAGCAAGTTCAATAGTATAGCCCACTACTAACTCCAATTTATCTATAGCCAATCTAATAGCTAATTCATACAATAGTTGCTTACTATACTATTAGCATATGGTCCCACCTGTCATACACATAGTGCGTCTTGGAGTCCGTGCTGCAGCTAGCTACAGATATGTATCTCGCTGCTCTTCTCTCTCATCTTTTATCTTATTAAAATATGTTTATAGCTGGCTAATAGCCTGCTATTATACCTGCTCTTATGTATCATCACCGATCTCAAGACGATTCCAGAACACATCCAACAAGGAGGTAGTAGTAGTTTATGACCCAAATGTTTCTCTCGTTTCCAATGCTACACCGTGTGCCGCGTTGCTAAGGTGATACTTTCGTCTCCTCGTCCACGCCATTTTGTACCCACCATTGGAGAGACAGTGTGTGAAACTTGGAATATATGAATTCAAACGAATGAAGAATCAAAAGAATTGTCACTAATTTCAATTCGAATCATTACAAAAGAATCAATGGAATCCCTAATCTATATGCACATCTCGCTCAAATTCGAGCCTCTGTGAAAGGGCTTGTAGCCTAATGGTTATAAGAGCCTCAGTAGCACCTGAGGTCCTGGGTTCGACTCCCTATGGGAGCAAATTGGAAAATTCGAGCCTAACGAGGTAGCTGACTAATAAGTGAGTGATTAGAATTTGTTTTTTTTTAGAAGAGTTTTCCGGCAAAATCCTTGACGTCGTCGTCCTTGACCGCCGGCGAGGCCATCCTCCTGAACTGCTTCAGCTCCGACGTGCTCCGCCCGAGCTGCAGCGCCACCTTCGTCTCGAACACCTCGCCGTCCTCCCTCCGCTCCACGTCGGCCTCGCCCAGGTTCGCCTCGATCTCCTCCTGCATCTTCCGGTAGAACCCCGCGCAGTTGCGGAGCAGCTCGAACACCATGCCCAGCTGCCCGCCGTGCTCGACGGTGTTCGCCGCCGCCGCCAGCGCGCCGCCGAGGACGGCGGCGCCGGACGCCCACGCGCCGGCCTCGCCGGAGCCGATGAAGGCCGCGGCCACCGCGGCCGTGCCGGCGAGCGCTGGCCCCGCCACGGCGAGGCCCTTGTTGAGGCCGAGGACCATCTTGCCGACCGTGATGTACTGGTGCTCGTCCTTGGCCTTGATGACGCGGAGGATGCCGCGCATCTCCTCCTCCAGCTCCGGCGTCCAGCCGTTGCCGCGTGCGCCGCGGCGGCGGCTGCTGCTGCCGAAGCTGTTCGACTTGTTCACCGCAGCGCGCTGCTGCTGCTGCTGCTGCTGCTTCTTCTTCGGCCACCACCGGGTCGGCTCGACGGTCTTGGGGAACTTCTCGAGCATGCCGGGGAGGAGGGGCAGCGGGTACGCGGCGTCGAGCGCGAGGACCCTGTCCATGGCGTCGTGGACGTCGGCCCTGGTCACCGGCGCGGCGAGCGCGAGCGTGGCGCGGACGTCGCGCTCCAGCTGCCTCCACAGCCTTGTGGCGTTCCGCTGCTCCTCGGCGAGCTGCGACGGCTGGATCTTGTTGACGGCGGCCATGGTGACGGCGGCGGAGGCCAGGAGGACCCCCGCGGATGCCTTGAGCGCCACGACGGTGGGCGCGGCGGGCGCGAGCGCGGCCATGACGGACGCCGCGAGGAGGAGGGAGTTGTTGGAGTGGAGCAGCAGGTGGTTCCAGTTGTCCCGCTGCCTCCCGATGATGTCGTGCATCTCGGCCCTGTCCGCCGCAGCCTCCGCGATCGCCCTGAGCTTCTCCAGCTCCACCGCCGCCGCGCCGCTGACATCCTCCTTCGCCGGGACGGCAGCGATCCAGTCAAGGTTAAGACTCATGCTACTGGGGCTCCCGCTCCCCGACGACGAAGACGGGCTCTGCGCCGTGCGCACGCCGCCGCTGACCGCCGCGCGGCAGGGCGCGGCGATCCGGCTCGGCCTCGGCCGCAGCCGCTGGCCGGCGCAGGTAGATGCCAAGAAGAGGCGTTGGTGAGCCTGGATGGCCGCCATGGATGGATGGAGACAGAGGCGATGGAGTTGGATGCTTGGGTCAGGTTGGTTAGTGGAGTCGAGGTCGAGGTCGACGCCGGAGGTGAGGTGAGGGGTGAGGGGGATGTGGAATGTGATGGTGGAGGGAGGAAGCGAGACTAGCGAGGTGGTGGTATTTATAGTTGGGTTTGGATTGACCGGGGTTGGGGTTGGGGTTGGGGTTGGGTTTGGTCAAATTTCAAGTCTGGGAAACCGTGGTTAGATTGGGGGATCTCGTCCCAACGACGAGACCGCTTCGCTTCGTTTCAGGCAAGTGTGTGCGTGTGATACTGTGATCAACTTCAACTTGACGGAGCAAGCTAAGAATGGTACTCCCTGTTTCAGCTTGTAAGAAGTTTAGACTTTAGTCAAACTTAATCTATTTTAAATTTAACTAAATTTATAGAAAAATATAGTAATATTTATAATACTATATTAGTTTCACCAAATGAATAATTGAATATATTTTAGAAAAATATAGTAATATTTATAATACTATATTAGTTTCACCAAATGAATAATTGAATATATTTTTATAATAAATTTGGCTTGTGAAAATGTTACTATTCTTTTTAAAAAACTTAGTCAAACTTTATGAATTAAATGATAGAAAAGTTAAGCCACATAAATTTAATGATAAATACTCTAAATTCTCAATTAATAGTGGCCCGTAGTTGGCAAAGATCGAATTGAGTATTACTATCAAACAAGCCAAACTCAGGCATACATAGGCCGTCATATTATTGCTAATATATTGAGCATTTGGCATAAAGCTGTTGACACTTCAGCTGAAATATAATTGATCCATTCTATAGTAATCTATATCAAATTAGATATCATCTAATACTACGAATTTAGAAAGATAGTATATATAATCTAATATCGCATTGCTATATATTTTAGGATCAACGCCGTGTTTAGTTCCAAAATAATTCTTCAAACTTTCAACTTTTCCATCACATCAAAACTTTCCTACACACACAAACTTCTAACTTTTCCGTCTCATCGTTCCAATTTCAACCAAACTTTCAATTTTGGTGTGAACTAAACATAACCCAAGTGAGTATTGTACAAAGCGTGTGCACACTGCGAAAAGATGGTTGATATTTCAAACGAGATCGATAATAGTACGATGGAAGAAACATCATATCGAATAGAGCATTAAATATAGATGAAAAAATAAAACTAACTGTACAGTTCGCATGAAAATTGCGAGACGAATCTTTTGGGTCTAATTAGTCTATCATTAGTTATAAGTGCTACAGTAACCCACATGTACTAATGATGGATTAATTAGGCTTAATAAATTCGTCTCGCGGTTTCCAGATGAGCTATGAAATTAGTTTTTTTATTCGTGTCCAAAAACCCTTTCCGACATCCGGTTAAATGTTCGATGTGACATCCAAAAATTTTCTTTTCACGGTCTAAACAAGGCCTAAAAAAATGATCAAACTGGAGAGCGAAAAAAAAAGCATCTCGTCCCACTGCTTTTTCTGCCCGAAGTCAATGGAAGCAGACAGTAGCTAGCTACGCAGCTGGCACTGGCAGGCAACCTCAAATATTTGAGTTCCAAACTTTTTATTCAAACTTTCAACTTTTTTATTACATTAAAACTTTTTTACACAAATAAACTTTCAAATTTTTCATCATATCGTTTCAATTTTAACCAAACTTCTAATTTTAGCGTGAACTAGACACGAAAAAAATGTATAGGAACATGTTTTACTACCATTCAGCATCGATCGACTCGATCGTACACCAGTACCCCATCTTGAGATGAGAATCGAAGGATTAATTAAATATAATGCATAATTCATAACTCGAAGCTAGTTAAGCATTGTCAGATCGAAGGATATATATGAAGGCTCGGTGAAGCTACAAACCGACAGTTGCTGGCCTGCACATGCGTGTGCAGCATACCAGATGTGCAACATATAGGAGTAGTATAAGATAGGACGCGTTCTACACTACTCAGAGCCTGTTTAGTTCGCGAAATAAAAATGTTTGGGTATCACATCGGATGTTTGACTAGATATTAAAAGGGATTTTCAGATACGAATGAAAAAATTAATTTCATAATTCACCTGGAAACCGTGAGACGAATCTCCTAACTGTGCACACTACTAGGAAAAGCATTATCGCAAGCGGCAGAAAAGGGTCTTCGCTGGCGGGGCGGCCGTCCGCCTATAAGCCAACGACTGTGAAGATCGCCGATCTTCGCAGGCGGGGCGGCCGTCCGCCTGCGAAGATTATTTTCGCAGGCGGACGTTGGCTAGTCCGGTCCGCCTGCGAAAATAGGAATCGTCCGCTTGCAAAAAAAAAAAAAACTTCCGCCTGCGAAGATAGGTAGAAAATATTGAAATTTAATTACAATTTGGCCGTAAATTACTTTTAAATTATTTAATAGAAATTCTTGCAGGTAGATTTTTATGTACATATATTGGAAGATTATCAAGCATTTGGTACTGAGAAATCTACATATATTGCATAACTCAAAAGTGTTGCCAAAATATATATATTACAATATTTTTTTACATTGTCACTTCAAATAACGTCATCTAGTTATATTATGGCATAGCAGTGTTCCACTCCCGAAGATCCTTGAAATCGTCACTTGCCGCTAGGGCACCCTCTGGGTCAAAGAAATCTCCTTTGACATGACAGCACTCATGGTGGATGAAGTGGCACAGATCACGCTGGACATTTGTGATACCTGTATCGTCAAAGCTTGGTCGACATTCTAATCTTGGCAACTGCATGCATTGAAATTAATCAATATATTAGTATCATGAATATCAAGAGCTGTCTAGTACATAGTATAGAGACTTACATCCTCTGCGTTAGTCCTGTACCGTCCATTAACTCTAAGGAATTCGCACGCATAATACCCGCAAAGGACCGTTCCTCGCAGTTGCTTGTGACACTTCAGGACATATCATGTAAAAAAGTAGTTACAATTTGCAATTAGTGAAACAATTGGAATACATTAAGTGAGTGGGGTATTACCGGCCAATAGGTACGTACTAGCAGCTTCTCCCTTGTTCGGGTCTGTTCTCTACCCTTGAACTTGTAGTATTGGTATGCACTGTATGGATGTCGTACCGTTTCATATTAAGGAGGATATTTATTTATAATACATTCATATAGAAATGCAAGAGTTATAATCACTTACTACTGTAAGATTGTTAGAAATTCTTTGTATTGCCTGTGACTGTAATTGAGAGGATCCAAGACTACCACGGTTCCGTCTTTAGGGTGGATGAGTAAACAGATATAATGATCGCTATATATTAACAACAGTGTAGTTAGTTAGTACCAGCTAAAGTAAGACATATGTGTACAAGATAAATGTACCGGACTTACTTAAAATTATAAGCGGCCATGACGACTCTCTTATTTTGAAAGTGCAAGAAGGTTCGTCCAATGTACTGTGCGACATTAATCAATTTCTCCTTGTGCAAGCCCTTCTTGTATTCAGCTATCTCTTTTGGATTCTTGCCCTTCAGCTGGTCAGACCCTGGTGCTAGCCTCACGATATGCTGTGTTTGGCAGATCCGAGTTGGATCCAAGAAGCCGATGGGTTCTTTTTTCTTCTTAGCATCCATGTACTGCATCCTACAGAAGAAGTTTGTTAGTAACAATCACATGGATTTGTATTGTACATAATTTTCATATAATTAATTAAAACTCATACTCACATGCACCAAACACCGACGTAGTTGACGTCCATCTTATCCCGACAATATATGGCGTGGAGATATGAGAAATCTAACCATACGTAACCTTCTTCGTCGAAACAATCTGCCGGTGATCGAGCTGTTATATTGCCCAAGCCTTTCTTGCTGGCCTCCATGTAGAAGTTATGTAACCTTCTCATCTCCCATGGTGCTTCTTCCAGTGCCCATTCCGGTAAGAGTGCTTTCCCGTGTTCGTACTTTTTCGGGCAATCATCGGTTGCGAAGTATGTTGGCCCGGCTAGTTCAGCAGCCTTCTGGGGGTCGTCATCTCTGAGCTTGGCACGTTCCTTACCCCCTCTGAAGACGGTTACCATGAACTTCTCCTTGTTCTCATCTTTGGACTTCGAGTCGTGGCTCCTAAGCACTCGTGGCACCTCGGGGTCTTTCGCAGGAGAAAGGTCTTCAAATATTTTCTGGCTCTGTACCGTCCCATTCCAATCCTAGTACTTCTTCTTTGTCTGACCCGACTGATGCCACAAATTGCACCTCTGGTTCTGCCACTGTAATCTCCATGGGCACATCCGGCACTGGAATCTCCATGGCTGTCTCCTGCGGTGCAATCTCCATGGCTGCCTCCGGCAATGCAATCTCCGGTTGCACTTTCGGCAATGGATTTTCCTTTTGCATCTCTGGATCATCCGCCTTATCAGTCACCTTAATCTTATGAGGCCTCGGAGGTTTTCCCAACCCCGGTTTAGGCACCACAGGTTTTTGCGTGGCGTCGGTGCCCAATCCAAAGGATATGTCATTCTTGTGCCAGAGAATTACAAGATCGACCGCATCCCCAAGTACAGATACACCATCTGCAGTTGGGTAGTCAATGTCGTAGGACTCAAACCCTTCGTGGACCACTTGTGGCTGCACCTTGGCATACGCATCGGGTATGAACTGTTCATTGTATGTTCTCCCAGGGATAGCAATGGCTGTAGCGGCCTCAAGAGTTTTACCGGAGCGTCCAATGGGAACGTGTAATCTGCAGGGTGTATTCTCCTTGAGGTCATCGAAGGGGTAATCTGGCTCAGTTTCTTTGGTTTCGGGGCGAGGCAAAATCATGTGCTTGACGCAGAATCCATCATTTGCCTTTCAAACTCCGCAGCCCCTTCGTCTCTAAATTTATCCTTGTACGCTTCACGCTTCTTGTGGGGGTCATTTTTGAACCCTTCCTTCCAACTCATCTTGCTCGACACACCTCTAACCCTTCCCCCATGCTCAAGAGTACCCAGCGCCGTACTTAGCACATCTTTCTCCCTTTTAGGCTTGAAATATCCTTTCTTTTGTGAACTGGATAAATTTTCTATTTTATCAGCAACGCTCTGCAGCTCCGGATTTTCAAACGATACTTTTCCTTCATCCGTGATCTTCGGA